ATATTGATATATGAAAAGGAATGGAATAGTTTTGGAGTATACTTCATGCATCGTTTAGTGGAAATTGTTAGGAGAGTAACATTGAGTTTAATTTAGAAGGGAAAGAATGGTGAAATTTGAAATGGAGCAGAAAGAAGAAAAGTTCCCAAATTCCGCTGAATTTCCAATCGGTTGAAAACTCTAGGATGTTTTCGTCATTTTTTTCATAAAATCCTTCAATTTCAATGACGAATTCCCTGAAAGTTCAGTTGAATTGTTAGCTGATAAAATTTTCTTATAAATGTACCTAAAATTTCGGGAGTTAATGGTAATCATTCGTTTTGGGCCAATGACATTCACAAAAACGTTTACTTTAAAAATAACAAAATAAGGAAATTGGAAAACGTAAACTGCAGGAGAAATTACATGTGACTGCTGGGATTTTTTTTTAACGTTAAGACGTAGAAAGTGGAACAATATATGTATCATGAAAAATATTGGTGTGTCAAAGGGACTGCAACAGTCCTGAAGTATATTTTATGCATTATTAAGTTGTAGTTTTTAGGAGAGCCACATTGAGTTTAATTTGGAAGGGAAAAAATGATGAAATTTGAAATGCAGCAGAAAGAGGATAATTTCCCAACTCACTTGAATTTTCAATCAAAATATGAAGATTCAGTACCAAATTACTGAACTTTACAGTTCCCATTATTTCTCTCATAAAATCGTTCCATATTAATGAGGAAATTCCCTCAAACTTCAGTGGAACGTCAGCTGAGAAAAATTTCCCAGAAATATCAGAAATTTCGGGAGCTGATGGTACTCATTCATCTTGGGGTCGACGACATTCACAAAAAAAGTTCATTCTAAAAATAAGAAAATAAAGAAACTGGATGCCGTAAAATACATGATAAATTACGTCTGATAGTTGGGATTTTCTTTAACGATAAGACGTAAAAAGTGAAACAATATATGTATCATGGAAAGTATTAATAGTATTATTATTTGTATCATGAAATGGGATTTGAAAGTCCTGGAGTATATTTCAACTGAGTTTCTGCATGTCCAGGCCGTTATGCAGTGAATGCAATTCTAATAAAGATCCAAAAAGAATTTAATGTTCCAACGTATTGAAAATCAATAGAATAGTTGATTTTTCAGTTCAGTTATTCCGTGAAAATTCGGAAAAATCAGGAAAATTCAAGGAAAAATTGAAAACTCATATCATTTTGTTTCTGAATATTTATGTTTCATTAAAAATGCAATCAAGCTGCGAGATTTCCGTCTTACTTTCACTGAAAACTCATAAATTTCCTTGAATTGTAAGTAAAACTTAAAATTTTATAACCAGTTGCCCCCTAAATCGGATTTAATGTCGCTTTCATGAGAATTACTACCACATTTGCCATGAAATTAAAAAAAAATCCTAACAGTGTACTACCTACACAGATGTAAAGATTTTCAGAAGAGTTACCACTGAGAAAAACTATTTTTTTGAGATATACATCTTTACTTGTCTCGAGAAACTTCTGATTTGAAAATTGACAAGAAGAAAATATTTCACACTGAGAAAAGAAACCTCTCGTCAAGAGATTTTATACTTTATCCGAAAGGTGAGACGCAATTTGTTCACAACAAGAAAGCGACTTCTCGAATCAAGTCAAGTATAGTCGTACTGGAGAGATTCTAGTCTTAGCCTCCCATATAGCCTAATGGTGGGGGAATAAGAACCGAAGACTACAATCTCTCCAGTACGACTATAAGTGGTTTTAGGATTAAAATGTTTTGGATTTGAAACTTGAAAACTGTTAACTACATTAATTCCGTAGCGAAGTGGTAAAACGGTTTAAGTCGACTCATCTTCCAGTTGAGTTTTTGAGGAATATTGCAGAATCTAAGGGAGATAGCGAAAATTTCGTAATTACACTTGTTGTAGCACTCAATCGGCTCTACAAAAAAGGTTATAACAAAAATTTTTCTATCTCCGTTAGATTTCGAATTATTCATTGAAAATTGGGCAATAGTCAAAATTGACTTGTACCGTCTTGTACCTTCAAGAAAACTTGAAGGAAAAAAAATCGAACAAGCTAAACTTTGAAAAACTTGAAAAAAAACTTTTAAACTTTCAACGCATAGAGAAAATTGCAACAAAAAAAATTGAAAATAGTCCACACACACATACATATATATAATACATACATACATACAGACACCTTCTACAAATCGCTTATTCAGACTTTTTGGACCATATATTTAGTTACCCTGCTACAAAAATTGGGAAACTTAAAGTACCTCTACCCTTCGGCCGGGCTACGCTGTACTTTTGGATATTTTCAGTTTTTAAATTTTTCAACTAAATTGCACGGAAAAAATTTGAAAAAATTCATACACAGTCAGTATTATCTAAATTAAATTTCGCAAAATATTGGTATTTTTTCAAACATTTCCCTCTTATAAATAAATAATAAAACTTGGTTGCAAAACGGTGGATTATTTTTTATGAGGTGTCACAAAAATTCTTGTTTTTTTTACACCTAATGAAAAAAAATTCAGATTTTAATCTTTGATTACAATGGAAATGTTGATTTTCACGTAAAACACTGGGTTAAATCGTGATTTTTAAACACGAGACCGAACGCGCGCTACAGCGCGCTGTAATTGTAACAATCATAATTGAAAATCTCAAAATTAAATTAATCATGAATTAAATGTGCCGCCTCAGACGACTGGAACCAATGAGGAATAAGCGTGACAAACTTGCGAGATATCGATAGTTATCGACTTTAAGTGTATGTTCTTTTTAGAATAGGATTTCTTCTTTGAAAAACCAAAACGATAATTAAATTGAAAAAAAAAATTAGAGTTCTGAATCTAATCGGGTTTTCTGCAATTTTTTTGCAGTTTTGAATAATCTTTGAATTTACCGTAAGGGTAGAGCTACTTTAAATTTGAACGATTACAAAGCTTTCATTCGGAAGCAAAATGGAAAAAAACCGAACGAATCACAATGCAAAATACCACATCCACAATAAACAGCAAGTCTTGATTACAAATGGTTTGACACAAATTCATACGCACAAGGAAACAACACTGTGAAATTCCAAACACAAGCACAGATTTTGCCTATATTCTTACAAAAGATAAGATAACCGAAAGATGTTATTGAAAATAAGTATAAAAATTCGAAAAATTCAGGTAAAAACGTTCTCGAAAATATATTCCCATAATATATTCTCGTAAATATACTCTTGTAATTCAGCTTAATTTGGTAACGAATATTCATATTTCCGTGGACAATTCGAATAATTTGAAAAATTTGCACTTTTCTGCTGCTAAAAAATATGGAATTCCTTTGAATTTTCAGTGAAATCTGCAATATCAGAAATTTTTTCCAACAGTGTATTTGAGTTTTCAATCACAAAAACATGAATATCGTCAACAGATTCAACAGATCTTCCTAAATAAATAAATGTGCAATCATCAGCGTTTGAAATATTGATTAATTATCAAAAGTTGATAATTTTTCAGCTGAAATTTAAACTTTCATTTTTTGTTCTTCAAAAAATTTTGATTTTTTTATAATGAAATTCCATCGAAACTGTGACTTGATAAAAATTTCCAACAAGTTTACCGAAAATTTCGGGAGTTGATAGTAATTTTTGTCTCGACATTCGCGACATTTAAAAATAACGAAAAAACAAAATTGCGAATGCAGCAAAAATCTCATTGTCTGGATTTTTTTTAACGATAAGACGTAGAAAGTGAAACAACATATGTATCACGAAAAATCCGAGGACAGAAATAAGATTGTTTGTCAAGATTTGCAGAAATACGCTCTCATTTTTACAAGTATAGTCAAAACTTCTGAAATCTCCGACTTCATTTCACTCAAGATCTGTATACATTTGCCATTTTTACGTCTCTCTCCCTCCGCCGAAGCTATTAACATTTATGAAGGCCCACGAAACGCGAGAACTTTCAGATAAAATCCCCAGAACATTATTGTTCTTCATTACAGTTTGGACTTTGCTACTTGATAGGGTACACGAAGCCAATCGTATCGCTCCATAACACTGTTCTCCACCGAACAATAACTGTCAGCTGCATTTTGTATTTGTGAGAAACATCCCATTGCAAAATGTCATTGTACTCCGCAAATCATCTAGGTTGATCTGTACGCATCTTATCATATTTGCTGATTCCAAGTCAATACAAGCTCCCCAAGAAAACGGAATAAGGTGAAAATTCAGTGAGAGTCGTAGGTCACGTCATGGTTAAGTTCACCCGATTTAACTGCTGGCATATAGACACTCCGTTGCGGTGGTAAAAGGCATCTCCCTAGTTTAAGCTCAATGGAAATGTGTACTTTGGGACCGGGGGAGGGGGGCCTTTGAGTCTCGTATTTTTAACAAATAAAAGACATGACTTGCGAACAAACTTAACCGTTGACTAGTTAATGCTTTTTCGTTTATCGTGGCGGGGCAATAAAACGTAAACATTGTTTTCGTTGCTAATCTCTTTATTGGCGCGTGCTTGGCAACACGCCAGTTGCCGCCAGTGGCAACGGCTAGACAACCCTTTTTGCTTCCATGAACCCCTCCCCCGCCCTCACCCCCTGCCGGCCCCCCTGACAACCTCTCCGGCCGTCTTTTCAAACCACCCACTTACCCATCAACATCAGCCTTTGACTTTCCTGTTGCTTCCTCCCCACTTTCACATTTTCCTTGGCTGTTACTGCAGCTTCTTCATTACGTTATCTCAATTTTTTTTGTCCCATTATTCTCTCTCGTATTGTTGGATTGTTATTCTTATGAAAAGTTTTTGCTGGGAAAGTTTGTTCGGGGGGTTTTGTTGGCAATTGTTTATTTATGTTGAGAATAGTTTATTCAGGACACACAAAGTTTTGTTTTATCTCGTAATTCTCCCTCATTCCTGTTCACTCGTAAATTTGTGCTGCGACATTTCCTTATGATCCGTGGAATGCCGTTGTTTCGACTGATTTTATGCTTTCTGGATTACAGAATCACGAGTACAGTGGGTATGGGGAGGAGCCCAGACGCAAGAGGTATGTAACGTTAATTTGAATTAGGTGTTGTTGATTCAGAAGTGAAGTTGTAAAACGTAGTAGCTTGGAGATGTTATTTTTGTTGGGTTGGGGGAAGAGGGGAGTGGGTAGAACGGACCTTCAATCGTCAATATTTTCTGGAAGAATGGTGCGAATTTCATAAATCAAGCGTGACTTTTAAGCTTCAAACTATTCCTTGAAAATGAAAAAATACTTTGGACATTTTACCTCGGCGGTCTTGAGTTATTGATGATTACTGAGTCTGTTTTAGTTCCCTCTTCTTGTATTTCTTTTTGGATTGTAGGGGATAATGTAAAATGAAATTATCGTGAATGAAAAATTCCGAACAAGAGCGACTGACATTCAATATTTCCTCGTTAAGGGAATGATTTTTTTTGTTGAAATAATTTTCAACATTTGTAGTCGCATATAGAGGTTTTTATTTAATCCTCAATTGACTTCAAGTTACTCAGCATTTTGCAATTATTTTGTGATTAAAACTTGGGGGCTTCGAATTTGTTTCTACATTTTCCACCGTTAGAAAACGTTTCAAAATTAAAAAAAAAGTTCACTTTTTGAAGATTTCATTTTTTCATTGAGAGTTTACAAACTGCCAACTAAAAATCATTTCCTTTCTTTAGACCAAAGGAATGTAAGAAGAATGTAAATTTTTACAAAATGTTGATAATGCATTTTTTACGATTTTTTTAAGGTACGTATAACAAGATTTAATAGAAAAACCACCGCTTTCTTAAGAAATTCCGTTGAATGTCCATTGAAACTACAAAAATCTTATTGGAGTTCTATTAAAACTCTCTCAATAAATTCAATTTATTTTTTACGTCAATTCTATTGAACATTACACAACTTCATCGTCACTTTTCCTTAACCCTTCAGAACTCGCGCTATAAGCGCCGCGCCGCCTTTTTCAAATTTTCGCTTGCCTCTTGCAAAATTGAGCTTTCAAAAAATTGAAAAAATTAGAATGCCTAGCTTGAATCATTTAGAATGGATTAGCAAGGTTCTTATCCGCTGAAAATCCATCAAGGCTTCGAAAAATAATAAATTGTTGAGGCTCATACGCAAAAGCGGCGCCGTGCCGCCCAGTGCGAGTAACGAAGGATGTAAAATTTTCAATTCCGCTGTTGCTGTTTCCCGCTCGCCGCACGCTCGGCGCGTACCTATGAACGTGACAACGCTGCGTTACTGAAAGCACGGACGGCGCAGCGCTCACCACGCGAGTAACGAAGGTCGGTGGCTGAGCGCGAGTTCTGAAGGGTTAAGGATATCCAAGTACTTTGGCTATTTTTTCTCCACTGAAATGCTTCTCTAATTCTGTAGTTGAATATTAGAGCTTTCATTTGAGCTCATTCGGACCCCAAGTTTCCGGACATTTTACAATGATTTTATTATTTAAACTTTGTAAGTCTTAATTTGAATCTCAATATTGAACCGTTAGAAAACACTTGAAATATCTGAAAGAAAAATAGAAAGTTTACTTTTTGAGGAAGATAATTTATAAACAATCAATTTTCCACTATAAAAATCATTTGTTCGGAATTGTAAGAAATTTATTCATATTTAGAATTTTACCAGAAATTGATTGAATGCCTAAAAAAATAAGGTTTTCGAAAGTTTAAACAATTTCATGTATTTATTTCTAGGCAACGAATGTTTAAAGTAAGAATAATTCTGTGCAAAATGTAATTTAAATGACCCTGAATATTCATAATTTTTTTCAAATTTTTTTCATGCGATTTAATTGACAAATTTCATGTTTGAAAATGATTGAATCTATAGTGCGGTCTGTCACGCACGAAAAAATTTAATAGAAAAACCTATCGAATTCGTTAGAAAATTCTATTAAATTTCTATTGAACTTTCTATTAGTTTTTGGCTGATTCTATTGACATGTTCAATAGAAAAAGTCAACAGAATTCGATTTTTCTACGTAACTTATTCTTTTCATATATTTTCTATAGAATTTGCTCGACTCAAATTTAATAAGTTTTTTTCATTCCATTTTTCTTTTCTTCTCATCAAGAAAATCAAACGAAAAAACTGAGAAAATTTGAGCTGAGGAAATTCTATAGAAAATATCTCAATAGAATAAGTTATAGAGAAAAATTGAATTCTATTGACTTTTTCTACTGAATATTTTCTATTGAACATTTTAATAGAATCGGCTAAAAATAGAAATTCAGTAGAATTTTCTAACGAATTCGATAGGTTTTCCTGTTGAATTTTTTCATCCGTGGTACCAAACTATAGAAGATACTTGGATATCTTAAAGAGATATTTAATAGAAAACTTGATAGACTGCTCTATAAAAACTTTCTCATATTTCTCAATTTTTAGAGAAAAAAATCTTAATCTTAAAATGAGTTACACAAAAAAATCAAAATCTACAAAAAAATTTCTATAAACAAATATCAGTTTGAAAACGCTCGAGAGAGTTGAGTAGCGAAACGAGATAGCAAATTTTTCGAAACAATCTTCCTTGTGGAGCCAATTCAGTAGCGCAGTGGTCAAACGGCTTAAGTCAATTTAGTCTTTAGTTGAGTTTTCCAGAAACATTTCCTAATTTAGGGGAGGGTGGGGTAAAATGAACACTTTAGACTTTTTTAAAATTATTCATAAGTCAGAAACAAATTCATCAATTGAGCTCAGTTTAGGCTCGTCACAAAGAGAAAGAATTGTTCTTTGTATTGAAAGAAAAATTATTAAATTTTATCAACATTTCAACCCCTCATTAACATTTCAAAAAAGTCAAAAGTGACCTTTTTTGTAGAGCGAATTGAGTGCTACTAAAAAGGTTCTGAGAAAAATTTTGCTATCTCCGTTAGGTTTCGAGATATTCATTGACAGCTGGCCAATAGCCAAAATCGACTTAAACCGCTTGACCACTTCGCTGCTGAATTGAGGGCTACAAAAAACGTTATGACCAAAATTTTGCCATCTGCCTTACATGCCGAGGTATTCATTGGAAAGCGACTGATACCCAAAATCGACTTTAACCGTTTACCACTTCGCGACTGAGTTGAGAGTTCCAATAGAAAATCAACAGATTTCTTCGAGAAAGCGCCAGGTTTTTCCACGAAATTCTTTCATACGTGAAACGCTGCAGATGTTAAATAAGGAATACTTCTGTAACATCAAGTAAAATAAATCGAATTGAATGGAATACTTTGTGTTACGTTTTACCACTTCACACATTGTGAATACAAAACTAATAATGAATTCCTCTTAATTCCAGGGAAGACAATAACAAGCCAAATCACGTACTCCTGTTCACAATAATAAATCCAGTCTACCCCATCACAGTTGTAAGTGTGAATGATGAAAATTTCTTCTCCTGATATAAATTGCGATACGACAATCTCAAGTGTTTATTTTGACAGGCATATATCTCAAAGTACCCCATATATCAAATTTACCATTTAATCCTCGTGCATTTAAATTTTGAGTAATTAAATTCCTCATGTCTGTATAATTTTCATGGTGTTTAAATGCCGTAAATACCGCATTGACGTTGATGCGTGACATAGTTTATTGCTAAGACAAAAGAAGACGTCGTCACAGCGAGATTGAGAACGAGTTGAGCGAGGTCAAGCGACGCGCCAGGAATGAGATAGAGCAAATCGAGAATGTTCAATCTCTCGAAATAGATTAAACGATTTTCATTTTTTTGCGTTACATCCGAGGCTGTACAGTGCAAATGTAAAAGAATAAATAGTGGAGAAATGGGGAATAACGATAATTAATTATGTATTCATGTATGCTAATTGTCATTTCACTTTGCAGGAAGTGCTGCATGCAATCAGCGCGCCATGTGGCCAGGTACAGCGCATAGTAATATTCAAGAAGAATGGAGTGCAAGCCATGGTTGAATATCCTTTTCATAAATTAAAAAAAATCTATAATTCAGGGCAGAATGGTTGCAGCGAGAGAAATCCATCTAGTTCACACATGACTTTTTGGTTAATATCCTGAAGTTGAATGGAGATGACGAAATTTCTATGAAGACTTTTTTTCAGTTCTTGTTAGGCTCGACAAAAAAGTTCCTCTCGCAAAGTTCTCTATCTCCCTCATGTTTAGGGGGAGGTTCACCCCGGGAAAAAACTTTTTAGTTTTTCGAGAAAAAACATTGAAAATATTATTTCCCGCGCGATTTTTCCTCAGGAATTCGATTTTCTAGGTCATAATTGTCTCCTGCCACTCAAAAGTGGAGAATCGAATTTTTTTCAATCGTAAAATCAACTTGACAGAAATCTCTGCCGTGTTTTTTTTTCGAAATAGTCTTGTGAGTATGATCTGAAATTTTCGTTCCTTAATTATGAAAAATTCGGGAGACGACGCATTTTTAAATTTATTCGTTTATCAAAATTTTTATTAATATTTGAAAAAAAAAATTTTTTCTTGCCCAAATATGTATAAACTTCATTGATGATTACTAACTCGATGACTAATGGTGCCCATGCACCTACCTAGCCTTTTTTACTCCATAGTTGAGAGGGCTCCTTTCAGGAATCCGAAATCGGCCAGCGTACTTCCTCCCAAAAATTCGAATAGGTTCATTCTTTCCGTATTGTTTCGATTCGTTTTTCATTTTTTTTTAATTCACTCATTCTAATTGATACTTATAACTTATGTTCAAAAATATAATCGATCCATTGAAAATAACGACTTTTTTCAGGTTGACCACACTGAGAAAAATTTCCATGGTAATTTTAACTACAGAGGAATTGTCAAAGAAATTATACTTACAGTAACAATAAACTTTGTAGATTAAACTAGGATTCATCGTTCGATTTATCATGTCAAATAGTGTTATCAACATTATGATATAATTTTCACTTTAATGTAATAGTTGAATCTACAATGTTTATTGTTACCGTAACTATTATTTTTTTGACAATTCCCTTGTAGTTGAAATTCCCATTGAAATTTCTCTCAGTGCAATGGACCTCAAACTGTATCTTCTCCCATATTTTTCATAATTAAAGAGCGGAAATTTGTGATCATATTTAAACAAGTGGTCCATTGTACAAGCCTAAATCAATTATAGTTTTTTTGCTAAACATTAGCAATTTGTTTCCGAATGGATTAATCGACTTAAAACAAAAAGGTGCATATTCGGTTTTCCGTCATTAATTTCAGATTAGTATGGATCGTTCCTGAAGTTTAACCTCAGGAAAATTCAATAGTTTGCTTTAAAGACAATTTAAGATCAATTTATTTAGTCAGCTGATTTTATTTTAAATTAGACATTGAGTGACAACAAAATGAATGCAAAATTTAATATCACAAGAGTTCATGCTCCTGTCACATCAATGTTGTTCCCTCCTCAGTCGTAAGTAAATTATTTAAATTTTATTTTGCTCCTGAATAGTTTTTCTTAAACTGGACTTGATTTCAGTATAACTTTTTTGCTAATAAATTAGCAATTTGCTTCTGAATGGTAAATTGGGGAAGAAGATATATTAGCCATGAAACCTTAATATTGTCCCTAAATTTCCCAAATGTCTAACATGACCTCCATATGCCCTGGTTAAACATCTAACAGACGCCGATGAAATTAAAATTGAACTGGTTTAAACGTCCACTGAACATTGATTAAATTTTGACGACACCTTGGTTAAACCTTGATTAATCTCCGACTAAACTATGATTAAACCTCGATTAAATGCATTTTAAGGCTGTAATTCCAAAGCAAATGATGCGATCTCCACTCTCTTCGAACTCGACCGAAATAACATCCAAACGAATATTTTAAGCCATAATTGAAAAGACTTGGATGATTATTTTTTTAATGATCGTCGAAAAACTAAATTTAAAAAACAAAAGCTCACATACATACATACATACGGACATGATGTAAAATCAGCAAATTCGAACTCCTGAGACCAAAATTAGTCATCGTCACACAATAAATGGAAATTCCATATTTGGCGAATACAATGCATTCGGAAGCAAAAACTATTTCGAAAAAAATACGTTATAGATTTTTTAAGTTGATTTTTCAATTAGAAAAAATTCGAATTCGACCTACAAAATCGGATACCTGAGGAAAAATCACGCGGAAATCGTATTTTCAAAGTTTTTTTTTCTATCGAAAAACGAAAAAGTTTTTTTTCCCAAGCTGCGCCTCCCCTTAAAGCTATTCATCAAACCTGAATATGGAGGCAAATGGACTTTTCTCGTTCTGTCGTTTTATGAATCATGCAGCACCATTGTCCACTGACAAATGTACATGTCAATATTTATGATCCTTAACGATACAATTTCTATGTAATCACGTTTGACTCAGTTGAGTCAGCGACACGGGCCAAAGAGACACTCCACGGTGCTGACATATACTCCGGCTGTTGTACATTAAAAATTGACTTTGCCAAGGTAAGCACAAACCTCTCGCCCCTCGAATAACAAGCCATGAATAATCTCATTAATACGTTATCCCACGGTATTAAAACATTTTGAAATAGTGCAAATAGAAATAGAGATAGAGACACGCAGGTCGAGAATTATCGATCGAGTGTGCAGTAGAAGAGGTAAAACTGGTGCTCGCTCGTCTTTCAGCGTACGCCAACCGTTTGAATTAATACTCCACGTTTAATGCTCTTTCTCGGCTTGGCATCTAACGCAACGGGCGATTTAGTGGTTTTGGCGAGGCCGAAATCTCGTAGCCGAGTGCCACTGCCAAAAATAGGTTTTGGATGATTCCATCGCCACTTGAGGGATTTTCTTTACTTGTGAGTCAGGGACTCAATGCGGATGGAGGAGAGACAGGGGAATGCTTACCACAGTTGTTACCTCTCTTTAGATTGCACATACCGTTTGATAAGATTAAAATGTCTGTCATAATTCTCAGCGTTTAACATGACTAATAACAACATTCGTGATGTATTGCGGTTATTAGTTGAGTCGTAAATGATCTGGCAGTGGGATGAAATAGTACTCATTGTGGTTTATGGGTTATTGTTGCGAGGGGAGTTCATATGTTCAGGTGCATTCGACATTTATAAAAATATGAGCTTTCTTAAATTACATAATACCATGTTCTTTCGCTGCACAAACATTTCAGAGACATGACGTTGATGTGACGGACAAACATTCGACCCTAAGTTATTGAATTATTCCATTGATTCTATATTTAGACGAGATAGAAAAAATTACTATTTATGAAGATTTCAGCTTTTTCATTCATGATGATTTACACAATTAATTTACACTTTCAAAAATATTGTTTTCGAAATCTTGAGAGTATTTTCCAAATTCTCAATTTTATCAGAAATCAATTAAATGTAAAATAATGAGGATTACAAAAGTTCGAATAAATTACATTATTTGTAAAACAAATTGAAAAAGAATGTAATTTTGTAATTTATATTGCGATTATTGGTTGAGTCGTAAATGATCTGATAGTGGGATGAAATAGTACTCATTGTGGTTTATGGGTTATTGTTGTGGGGTGAGTTCAGATGTTCAGGTGCATTCGACATTTATGAAAATATGAGCTTTCTTAAATTACATAATACCATGTGATACAACGATCTGTTTGGGATAACTATCGCTTTAAATGTGGAACGGACAGAGCCTTAGCTACACAAGCATTTCAGAGACATGACGTTGATGTGACGGGCAAACATTCGACCCTAAGTTATTAAATTATCCATTGATTCCAAATTGAGTCGAGAATTGAAAAATTACTATTTCTGAAGATTTCACCTTTTTCATTCATGATTTACAAACAATTAATTTCCACCTTTAAAAATATTGTTTTCGAAATCGTAAGAAGATTTTCAAAATTCTGAATTTTAACAGAAATCAATTACGTGTAAAATAATGACGTTTGCAAAATTTCGAACAAATTAAATTATTCCTAAAACAAATTTCAGAAGAATGTAATTTTGTAATTTATATTGAGGTTACTAGTCGAGTCATAAATGATCTAATAGTGGGGTGAAATAGTACTCATTGTGATTTATGGGTTATTGTTGTGGGGGGAGTTCATATGCTCAGGTGCGTTCGACATTTATGAAAATATGAGCTTTCTTAAATAACATAATACCATGTGATACAACGATCTGTTTGGAAAAACTATCGCTGTAGATGTGGAACGGATAGAGCCTTAGCTACACAAGCATTTCAGAGACATGACGTTGATGTGACGGGCAAACATTCGACCCTAAGTTATTAAATTATTCATTGATTCCATATTCAGTCGAGAATTGAAAAATTACTATTTATGAAGATTTTATCTGTTTCCTTCATGATTTACAAACAATTATAATGTTTTAGAAATCGTAAGAGGATTCTCAAAATTCAGAATTTTAGCAGAAATCATTTACAATATCAATTGCATGTAAAATAATAAGGTGTACGGAAGTTCGAACAAATCTGTAGCGAAGTGTTAAACTAGGATAAGTACAAAAATGGAACTTTTTCAGGAGAATTAAAAAATTTGACGATGTTTAAAAGAACTTTCGATTCAAGAAATAAAAAATTTTTCAAAAAATTTGCACTCATCCTAGTTTACCACTTCACGACAGAAATTACGTTATTTTTAACACAAATTTTTAAAAATGGAATTTTGTAATTTACATTGGGGTTACTAGTGGAGTCATAAATGATCTAATAGTCGGATGAAATAGTAGTCATTGTGATTTATGGGTTATTATCGTGGGGGAAATTCATATTTTTATGTCATAGGTGCCCAGAATCACGCGATTCTAACCTCGCTTCGCTCGGTAGAATCGCGGATTCTGAGCCCTATGGCATAAAATAGTATACGAAACTCGTGCGTAATGGTGTTTTTTGACTCGTGGGAATGTAAAACTCGCCTTCGGCTCGTTTTACAACTTCCCACGGGCCAAAAAACCCATTACGCACTTGTTGCGTAATATACTATTAGGTGTGTTCACCATATGTGGACGTCCGCATAAAAAGGTACCACTTTGGCACTATTGGAGTTATGTATATGCCGATAATCTTGATCCGATTCTGCAAATTTAGAGCCAAAAATGAACTTGATAGCGTAAAGAGTGACGACGCTATAGACGATCGAAAAAATAATTTAACATGGGTTTAAATGGGAGTTGGCAAGAGAAAAACGTGAATATCTCGGAAAATAGAATCGACAAAGTGGTCCCTTTTCATGCGGACGTCCACATTTATGAAAATGCGAGCTTTCTCAAACTACACAATAACGTGTGATACAACGATATATTTGGAAAAACTATCGCTGTCGATGTGGAACGAATAAAGCTGTAGCTGCACAAACATTTCAGGGACATGATGTTGATGTGACAGACACACACTCGGCCCTAAGTTACTCAGTATTTTGCAATTATTCTACTGCTGAAACTCGGAAGCTTTAAATTCAATTCCATATTTAGTGGAGAATTGAAAAATTACCATTTTTGAAGATTTTACCCTTTTCATTGATGATTTACAAACAATTCTACTTTAAACATAATGCCTTCGAAACCGTAAGAAGATTTCCAAATCCCAGAATTTGAGATGAAATTTTTAGTAATTTCAAAAAAATTCATTACATGTAAAGGAATAAGGTTTCCAAAAGTTCGAATAAATTCTATAAATTACAAAAAAATGTGAAAAGAAGGTAATTTTCTAGTTTACGCTGTGGTTACTAGTGAAGTCATTAATGATCTAATGGTGAGATGGAATAGTAGTCATTGTGATTTATGGGTTATCATTGTGGGGGAAGTTCATATTTTTAGGTGTGTTCACCATTTATGAAAATACGAGCTTTCTCAAACTAGACAATACCCTGTGGTACAGCGATATATTTGGAGAAACTATCGCTGTAGATGCGGAACGGATAGAGCTGTAGCTACACAAGTATTTCAGAGACCTGACGTTGATGTGACAGACACACATTCGGCGTTGAAATCCTCAGTACTTTAAAATTACTTAATTATTGAAACTCGGACGCTTTAAACTTGATTCCACATTTTCAGCCGTTAAAAAACAATCTGAAAGTCATTAAAAAATCGAAAACCGCTTTTTGAAGGCAATTCATTCCTTAATTGAAAAATTACAATTTTTACAGGTTTCACTTTTCTTATCAATAATTTCTGTAGCGAAGCGGTAAACCGGGTTAAGTCGATTTTGACTATTGGCCAGTTTTTGACGAATATCTGGGAATCTAAAAGAGATAGAAAAATTTTTGTCATGACCTTTTTTGTAGAGTCAACTGAGGGTTATAAAAAAGGTAATGAGCAAAATTTTGCTATCTCTCTTAGATTCCGAGATATTTGTCAAAAAATGGCCAAAAGTCAAAATCGACTTAAACCGGTTTACCGCTTCGCTACTGATTTGCAAATAATTAATTTTTCACTCTAAAAATAAGCTTTTTGAAATTCACAATTTTAGCAGGAATCGATTTTATGTAAAAAATGAGATTCTCAGAAGTTGGAACAGATTCCATTCCACGCTATGGTTGTAAAAACAATCGCTGTATACACTGATAAAACGGATTAGTTATTGTTAACGAATGGATTTTGGTTGGAGGTTAGGGTCTATTCGGTCCCACCAAATGTTCATTCGTTAATAGTTAACGAATGTATATTTGAGGAGCCTTGTTTGACTTGACTTTCGCCATTCAAGTGAACCATTCGTTAACTATTAACGAATATTCATTTGGTCATATTCAACTCTACCATTCGTTAATAGTTAACGAATCTCGTTTGGAATAAATGAATCATTCTATCAGTGTAGTTGGAACGGGTATGGCTGAAGCGGCACAAGTATTTCAGAGACATGACGTTGATGTGACAGACACACATTCGGCGCTAAAATTCTCAGTACTTTAAAATTACTTAATTGTTGAAACTCGGACGCTTTAAACTTGATTCCACATTTTCAACTGTTAAAAAACAATCTGAAAGTCATTAAAAAATCGAAGCCCGCTTTTAGAAGACTATTCATTCGTAAATTGAAAATTATAATTTTTAAAGGTTTTACTTTTCTCATTAATAACCTGCAAATAATTAATTTTTCACTCTAAAAATAACTTTTTTCACATTCACAATTTTAGTAGGAATTGACTTCATGTAAAAAATGGGGTTCTCAAAAGTTGGAACAGGTTCCATTCCTTGCTATGGTTGTAAAAACAATGGCTGTTTAGTTGGAACGGGTATAGCTGAAGCGACACAAGTATTTCAGGAACCTGACGTTGATGTGACAGACCCACATTGACCCTAAATTACTCTGGTTTTTGCAATCATTTCATTGTTGAAACTTGAAAGCTTTACATTTGATTCTTCATTCTGAATCGTTAAGAAACATTCTGAAAATCAGAAACCAATTAAAGTCTGTTTTTTGAAGGATGTTTAGTCAGAACAGCGCTGCGAAAAAATTATATCATGTTA